AAAAAAAAAACATTACTACAGTACAGAGCTCGTCAGAATTGCCTTATGAGACACTTCTTTATGGCGACAACCTGAAAGATTTTTTCTTTAACATGTGCGTTTGTTCTTTGATTACGAGCAGGAGAAAATACTGAGGAGAATTCATATATTCATCACCAGGCATATTGTCACTCGACAGACAAACTTGTGCTGTTGTTCTGCGAAGATAAGAAAGACTATTTAGGAGATGTTTTTGATTTCATGCGTTTGCGGCTGTTGCACAGCAGATTGTAAACCCTTTCCTTGCAGGGCCACTATGCAGTACAAATGGAATCTTAGCCTGAATGAAATGGTGAGTTAGTAATGTTCGGTAAAGGTGTAGAAAATCATCACTGACATCAGTAGATATGAGAATTGTGTAGAATGCTCTAACCAAGTAGTCGCGCCAATTTTGGTTCAAAATCAGTGGAAAGAACAAAATCGAGATTAGAAGCCGCTACACTGATACGCCCAGGCACATGGTAGTTCTGACTGATTGTGTTCATTGGCGTTTGTAGTGCTGAAACAAAGTTTAGGTGTTGGCCTTAATTTGTTCTAGATTTCGCACCATTCAGGTCGATAAAGTTAGTCTTTTTTGTGTGCTAGCGACTTTGACACGTTAATAAAGTTCTTATCTTATTTATTGAACCGTTATAACCGTTTTTAGAAATTTCAATTACTATTAATGAAATCTTGAGTAAATCAGTTTTGAAAGGAGGGAGCAATTTCCCTACAGCAATTTTTCGTCTTCCCAGTTGGTTTATCACCTTCAAGAATTTCTGATACCTTTTCTACTGTAATGTTTTGTTTGTTACGAAACAAGAGGGCTGATGTTGCGTGATGTTAGTCAGCGAGGACACCCGCCTGCTATTAATCCGACTGTATTGTTAGCGGAAGAAATTGCAATTCAGCTGATAGAGTCCTACTGTTAACACAAACAGAAAGATAGAAAATATGGCGGTTATCAAAAAGATGTTTTATTTACAGCTGGCATTTGAAAACCTGTCGCCTTGTGAAATGTGGAAAGGCGCTCGCCCACATAGGTAGCCTGACAGATAGTACTTGTGGTATCAAAATGCCTGTTATTGTGTTCCGGTCCAAATGTGTTCCACGAGGCCATGTACGTGCTTGAATAAAAGAGTATTTCATTGGGTCACTCAAACCGGCCATCATCTACTTAAAATTATCAGTCGAAAAGAGACCTAAGGGTATGACCAAGGACACTTGTTAGGTGGGTAAAGATTTCGTTCTTTTGGGCAACCTTTAGAGTTTTTGGACTATTTGGGATGTGACAGTGAGACTTTCGTTCAATGACAACTTTCCAAACTGTCTGCATAACTAATTAAGGCTTATTTTTGGTATTAAGAGAAGCTGTTGATTGGATATGAAGCGTACATAATACAGGGTAATCGTGAAGACTGTTTCTTGAGGTGGTCTTCACAATTCTTTGAACCATCTTCATCGCAATGAAATAATCGTGCGACCTAAGAACTTCTGTCGGTTGTCTTGGATAATGAGTGTACTCGGGCACAGACACTTGACTAGACAATAAGCCAATGTTTCCCTCGTGGTTTACCTAAGTTAAAGGAAGGCTTTTCTGATATCCATTGTTTCTTGCTCTGTTCAAAAATAATATGGGAGGAGTTTTTAATGTGAATAACAAATGAGGATTCTCAACTCCTTCTTACAATGTCGCCGGGCTCTTCAATCATAGACAGGAGAAGCAGATCTTCCTCCGTAACTGCGTTCACGAATACTCCAGATAGCCTAACATATTGCACTGTTAGTTCTTAAATGTAGGACTGTAAAATTCTTAAAGCAATTTAAGTATGTAGTGGTTTGGGAAGATAGATAAAACAAATGATGGCATGAGGATGAGAGAAACTGAAGTAGAACCAATAACCATTTTAAGACTGGCAAGTTAACGACTGAGTTTTGTAATGATCACAGCTATTACAAAGAAGACGATGTGAAGCTGACACGACTTCAGTACTCCCTGCCAACTCTCGGTTTCTTGTTTTGCATTCATCCAACATGGCATTTCACTAAAGCAAAAATGCACGAGGTCTTTCCTTCCGTGCTCGGTAAAAAGAGAAAACCTTGGCTAACAGACGTGGAAGTTCAAAAAGGAAGTTTAGTAAGAGTCCATCACTGATCCAGTTTGCTTTGAAAAATTTAACCTCGAAGCGATGACGAAATTGAAATCAGCCGAACAGCTCCTCTCAAGTAACTAAGTAAAGTCAATTGCACTAACCGTACCAGTGAATTCTTTACGAAAAGGAGTTTGAAGTAACTGAACACACGACAAGTATTACAAACATGAACAGGTGTGGAAGAAAGCACAACACAAGCACAGCATAAGCAGATGTTCAGTAGTCACTGTGCAGCATTTCAACTCAAAACAATGATGACACCAAGCAAACACCTGTTAGTATGTTGGCATTTGACAGTCTGCCGGCGTGCCTACACAAGTAGGGTTGAGCAATCCATGAATCATCACAGCTTATAAAAAAACAATGGTAAATAAAAGAGGTTTATCTGTTGGCAAGCTTTTGTCTCGCTCTTTGCGTCCAAAGTTTATGGTGGTAATTAACTTTTGAACTAGTATCCTTATTTCTCTGAATCGACGTAACTCATTGATTAACCTACATCCGTTGTTGATCTTTTTTTATCTTTACTGAAATTCCTGCTAGTTTTCAAACTTGGGCCTCGGTTGGCAGTTTTCTTTAAGACCACGTTGCCTTAAAATTCGTAAAACAATTCAATTTCAATCTAGTGACGCACCTCAGTACCACGTGTCAAAACGAATTCAATTTTGAGGAGGAAATGGATCTCGCTACAGACACTTTTGAACCATACTTAGATCTCAAGTTGCAATGACAGATTTACAAGCTTTGATCTCAACAATTTAGAAGTCAACAGCAGCTGCAAAAAAGGAACATGCAATGAATGTGAGTTTCAGTTATTGGTGATCTCGTTCAGTGATGAGGGTTTTATAATATCTCTGTCAGAGGTTGTCTTCTACGTGCATTCATCGTAGCCAAATGTTATAATTCATCAATTAATGTTCACCGCTGCTAAATGGACCATCCTACAACCTAAGATTAGCAAATAAATACAGCAACTGTAGCTTCTCAATGTTCTTAAGTTCCCTATAGCTCTAATTTACAGCTCTATTTTGTTTCTGTTTCGAAAAGTAAATTAAAAGTAGTGTTAAACATAATTCTTTTTGCCACAAATAACGAATAGAAAGACGGACAGTCGGCGAGTACGCACAGAACCAATCTGGTCCACTGGAAAACGTTAATTATTTTTGGACGGGTTGAACACGCTTTACAAAGGTGTTCTGAAAATAAATTAGAAAGCAATCGGAGTAAAACAGTACCTTAAGTATGTGAAAGCTATTAGAGGTGTCCCATGTACCGTCTATTGCCTTTGATAGTTGTCTCGAGGCTTATCTGCCGATTAAGATGTTAAAAACAGTCACCTTGGAGTACATCAAAACGTAATGTTCTCAAACTAACGCATATCAAACTGTTAGTGCTCAGTTATACAGGGGGTATGGACATATGTGCGTCTGTTTTTTTTTTTTTTTTACAGTTAATTGTCTGTCTGCTGTGTGAATTTGCATAAGAACAAGGGAGTTTAGACTGATGTTAAAAGTGAACGGAAATAGAAGGAAGACAAGATTAATGGGCCATTAGCAGGGCTTAATTTACGCATATTAATCCACCAAAGTCAGAATTAAGTCAGAATTTGGAGTTTTAACAAAAAATATGTCCAAAATAGAACAGGGCTGTAAATATTTGAATGTCTGCTTTGTGCTCTACCCTTGAGCTGCACAACATACCCAAGCCAGGTAGCTCCACGCCTCCTTCGCCTTGAAACTACAAAAGACATTGTTTATCAGCGGTAAGTCGAAACAAGCTGTGCACATTAGAGTCATTAGAGTCAGTGTGTAATGAGTCTTCTGAAACGGTTCACGATGGAGAAATATTTATTATTTAACATTTAGCTTGAGAACTCGAGATTTCTTCCATCACGCGTAGAAATAGAAAGCGAGTTGTCTTATTGATTGTTTTCAGTATAAATCTACTAGTCGTTCAAATTATTTTTTTTAATCGTCTTCACAAACACTTTGGAAGCCCAAAGAAGCTGCCGCCATTTTATCAACTACCACGCACTGAAAGGCTGCTCACTATCTACAACAGAAAAGATAGCGAGTAGCGTTTCCAATCAGAAAACGGCATTCGTGATAGAACGCCAGTAGATTGATACGCCTCGCCGAGCAATCGATCAGTTATTGGAACTTAAAGTGGAACGACGAAGTTTTTGACGTAAATCTTGTGAATAGCAAACTTTGTGACAAATGTCTTCCACCGAGTATGTTTCTACATTAAATTTTCTTATTTAAGCCTTGAAAACGCAGCGAATTACAAGTGAGTAAAATGTGAAATAAACGATAATACTTAATTTTTGTAATTATTGTATCTTATTATGATGAACGTCAATAACCTTTCTAGATATATTTTTTGTAAGTTATCATAGTTGAGCATTTTTGCTCATGTTAGCCCCATCAAGCCATGATACAATGTTATCTGATAACGACACAGAAATTATTTTTTTAAAGTCTGTTTTAGGGAAATATTCGCTTATTGGCAAACTTAGGCCGTGTTTTTCAGCCGCAGCCAGTTTTGGTTGGGGATCAAGCGGTTGTGATTTTCTGTTGGAAAAAGAGCTTTTTTTTTTTGTATATTTGGTCGAAAAGATACTATTTCAGCGGAAGACTTGTTGGACAAGTGGGAGGTTGGAAAAATTTAAAATCAACCGTTACAACTGAGTTTGAGTGTTATTACTTTGATCAACCAAATCATAATGATATTTTGTTTGAAGTAAGCATACAAGTTGTGTATAAATTACAAGTTACTGAAATTACAAGTAACTTTAAAATTAGATGCAACTCAAGGGTCTACACTATAGGGATGGATTTCACTTGTGCATACAGCACAACCCCAAGCAACACACACACACAAACGCGGTGTGGTGGTTTCAGGCATCGCTTAATACCGTCACGGCTAAACTGACCAATCACTTTCAACGGACCAGAGTAGACTGTTTACAGCCCTCTGCTTTCTCGTATTGTGATTCGATCGCTGAACGCGCGGATAGAATCGCGAGAGAACTGAACGCCAGCACAAAACAGGAGACTTGACAGGGTACTTCGTCTGGCTCGCGTGCCTCGTACTCGCTTTGCTCGCTTTTTCTTTCAAGAGCATTGAAAAATAGAGAGGCTGTGAACGGTCTAGACCAGACTTACGCACGTGACACCATCGACTGACTAACACTATTCATTTGACTCTGAAGATGACTTCCGCTCAGTTTGTCGAAACGTCAGTCACCAACAACAGTTCTTTTCAGAACTACCCCCTCACCTGGACGATCCCAAAAGGCGAACTGCTGATAGTCCTGGGTTCAAACCATTTACTAAGAGGTGCTAATTATCAGCACCGTAATGCGTCAGCACTTTATGCTTATAGATTTGCTTATATGTTGGTGAAAACCAGCCTTCATTACGCGTTGTTCAATTCCACCTGTTACCGACCCCCGGGACAAGTCCAGCCCTTCGTGCCAGGGGGTCTTGTCCCTGTGGTAGGGGGGCGAGGCGAATCAAAAAATTGCTTCGTGCGCGTGGTTTATCAAACGCAATCGCGACGCACCGTTTGCCAGACGTAGAGAGATTTTTTGTAGGAAAGCCGATAAAGTTTGTTTCGGCTTGGCTGAAACAAAGCAATCTTTCTAAATTAAAGCCCATATTTAAAGGTAAGTTTATTTATTACAAATAGCTACTGATTCAACCTTTTAAGAAAGTCAGATTTTTTGTAACAGCTTTTTATATGGCTTTTATTTTGAAAGTATTCATTTGCTTAAGAAACATTTTGAAACATATATGCTTGATCGTCAATGTTGTATGGAATATAAATCAGTTCTTTTTTCAATACGTGGTACATATGTATTTAATAAACGTCTCATTCAAAGAGATAACAAAGTCCTGTTATTTAAATGATCGAATACATGACATGTTTTATTGTCTGGATGACAGCCCTCATTAGTTCAAAGCCTTCAGTTAAGTTAAAAATCACCAGTGGCAATTAATTAAGCCAAGTTAACTCCGCGGGTTGTGGAACGCATGCTGCATTCGAATCAAGTTCAGTTTCCTCCATCCTTCACTTGGGTTTCCTCTGAAATGAAAAAATGCGATCATCAAAATGAACTGCCCAATGCCTTCACATATTAAAACGGGGGGAGGAGGGGGGGGGGGTTCACTCTGNGGGGGGGGGGTTCACTCTGAAACGCATCAAATGTTTTCCGTCCACACGACGCCTGAGGAATTTAAAAACGCAACAATCACCGGTCACTTTAGATTTGTCTTTGAGGAAAACTCGGGTAGGGAAATCACATGATTATTGTGACTCCATCGTTTTCGAAAAGCTTAGTTTCAAAATGTTTTCACGACCGCACTAAAACGCAAAACACTCACTCACTCACTCACTCGCTCTCGCTCTCGCTCACGCTCACGCTCACGCTCGCTCGCTCGCTCACTCACTCACTCACTCACTCTCACTCACTCGCTCGCACCGACTACAAGGGGAGTATGAACTCCTTTTTAGACCGCGTGCTCGTATGATTGACAGATGTCACAACACTACATCTCTCTTCTCCTTGATAATAAACTTACAATCATATATGTCGACTAACTAGATCAAACAACTTTACAATAACATCAACAAACGATAAG